ATCTATCTATCTATCTATCTATCTATCTATCTATCTATCTATCTATCTATCTATCTATTTGTTTGCCTCCAAAAGAGGCATTAGGTATTATTTTCGGGGGGGTGTCTTCCACTGTTCCACATCGCCGTAGCGGCACAGGAGCCCTTGGGGCTTCAGGAAAGACGGTGAAATGGAGCCCAGGGGGCACCATGTCCATCAACCCAGAGCTCGTTTCTTGGCTGCAGAGGCCTTTCCTGAATGCCTTTGAGGGTGAAAGGGAGGCCGGGGACAATGCGCACAAGCGGCGGGCAAGTGGCCACAGAAGTGGGACAGCAAGGCAAGGCAGGTAATGGAGCATGGGAGACCCGGCTGGAACTGACCTAAGGTATGTAGGGCAGCTCCACCACCCTCCATCCCCACGCTAGCTTGATTTTTACCCGTGCACCCCACACACCTTGTGCAACCAGGTGCAGCAGTGTGGGTGAGGTCTTAACTAGGGCTTATTTTGGGGGGATAGGGCTTTATTGGGAGCTCATGTAAAATCAAGCTAGGTCTTATTTTCGGGACACATCTTACTTTCAGGGAAACACGGTAAGAGTTACACAAAGCTGCTAAAATGACTGTGCATCCAATTTCTGTGCTGCCAACAGAGAGTATCTAAGCAAGACTTGCCCGCTTGTGCAGCTGAGGAACTGATGATGACAGGAGCAGGAGCTACCAGTCGTACCGGAGCTCCGAGGCCATTCCTTGCCCCCGTATTCACCACAAGAGCACCTGTTTGGTCATAATAGGCGGCAGGAGCCAGGACTGGGTAACCTATGAAGACAGATGAGACCATTGTGAGGAGTCTACTTTACAACTCTGCTTTTTGAGTTGCCCCACTCCGAACCCCTCTGCTCTTCTGGAAAGAATTAAGCTCCTACCTGGCATTCCTGCTGCGAGCCCCTGCCCGAAGGCAAGAGCTGAATTCACTGCCGCTGCAGCCACTAAAGGATCCGTCTGCTGGCCCTGTTGGTTCTGATTTGGGGTCAAAGGGCGCTGGCTGGCTCCTCCCCGGAGAACCTTGGAGGAAAGCAAGTAGGTATCAGGAATCAGCACCATCAGGAGCAGAAAACAACATGCTGCAATTAACATGGAAACATCCCTTTTCATTTGTTATCTTTGGGAACCGCCCATCTCCCCTAAAACACCTTCGTTGAATGTCATATATGCAAAATCAGAAACAGGCAGTTGTTTTTTTTTCCCCTGTAGAACAGGAAGTGTAAACGTTGGGCTACAGGAAACATTTATTGGCCAGTCAAAATTTGCACGTTCTTTTATAAAAACATCCATTTCCTCCCCTGCTCTTCACCATTCACCCTAGATTCCGATGATGGTTCCGCCGTATCGCTGTTATCTTTGCTCTGGTCTACTGCCTCCCAACCGTCTAAGAATGTCTCACTAGAAATATACCATTGATCGAAAATTGGTACACTCCTTCTATCTGGGATGGTTGTCCTCTTCCACCGAGAGCTTCAGGAGGGATGCGCATGGAGCAGTGAGGGAGGGGACAGCCGCCTAGCCAGCCAGGTCAGCCAAATCAACGCTGGCGATCAATGGGGTGACGGATGTTGCAGCCAGATTGCCCTTACATCCACTAGAACAGTGTTTCTCAACCTTGGCAACTTGAAGATGTCCGGACTTCAACTCCCAGAATTCCCCAGCCAGCATTCAAGGTTGAGAAACACTGCACTAGAAATATAAGTTAGGCTTAAGGCCACAACGTTTGCTTTAAAGCATGCCTCTTCTCAGGGCTGTTTTTCCTCAAATAATTTTTTTTAAAAAAACCAGGAGGGGTGGAGAAATGCTGGGCTGCAAGGGAAATGTTGCTAAGGGACCCTCTGTAAGGGTTGGTGGCACCTATTGTCTGGAATGGCCTTCTAGTAAAAATCAAGACTTGCCCCCTTCCTGATTTCATTCAGGAAAAAAAAAATTAAACATGGAGCTTCTTTTATGGAGCATTTGTAGCCCGAAATGACACCACTGATATGTACACGAGGATTTTCATGGCTGAGTATAATTAACTGAACTTAATACTCCTCGTCATTATCCATAATATAGTCTTAATGGATTGCTGCAAGAAATACAAAGAACGCATATAAATTCGTGGGTACCACAATGAGATTCTGTCCTGTTTTATTTCAGTTTTACACAGTGAACCATTATGGCAACAACTTGTAACTTTATATAGATGGGAACTTATAAAAATACGTACTTAAGTAAATTATTTGGAGAACCACCGTCAATAATATATCCATGTACATTGGGCAGAAAAGAAATGGTAAACTCTTAACGTCACAGCAATGTATTGTTTAAGAAGGTCCAGCTCAGCTTATATGAGTCCATAACAAGATTCTCATTACAGAACAACGTTCTCAGTGAGGGCAAGGGTGTCATCATTGCCAGACCTTTTGAATTTAATGTCTTGGAAAAAAAATTAATCAAACTGTGTTTCCTTATCCTCAAGTGGTGGAAACCGGTTCCACCACAAAACCGCGGTAGACAATTGCGCGCTCGACAAAAGCGCATACGTGACGTCATCACAGCGCGACAAAAACATCGCGCTGTGAGCGGTAAATTTAAAAGGTCT